ACTGGTCATATGACTTGGTAGACTATTTTATGAGATATACATAAGCAGAAAATAAAAGTTTAGTAAAATAATCTAAATGTTGTTGGATCTAGGTTTAATGATGTGCTGCTCTACCACTCAATCTCTTTGTAAGCAACATAACATCCCTCCACCCCCAAACATGGAAAGGGGCAGAAATCTCACGACGCTGTCAGCTACAAGTGGCAAACCTGGCAAGAACCTAACAGAAAAACAAAGTCCAAGCTTGAGGCTGTGGTCTGACTGGGATGTGTAGTGGACCAGCCAGATATGAAAAAGGGAGAGCACAGAAAAAAAGAGAACCACAGAAAGGCCGAGTTCATGCTTCAGACACACCCGGAAGACTGCAAACCTGCACAGGTAAAAAGGAGGTAAGAGATCACAACAGAAAGAAAACCCAAGACAGGCTTGAAAACAGGCTGGTTGAACTTTGAATGCACCTCCCAATGCCCAACCAGAGCTGCACGGGCTTGAGCCTGGACCTATGCATTAGGCTCTGGCCAACCATTAAGCTATGAAGACACAGGAGTGACTCTGCTCCAGGCACAAAGAAAGCAAAGGAATAAAGAGGGAGGGATCAGTATCATTAGGCAGAAACATCAGTGCCCCAGCACCGATAAACTGCTTAAAACACAGACACACACACACACTCAGAAAACCAGTAATATTTCAGAGTCACTATAATTCTGCCTAAAGAAACAGAAAAGTGTTAAGTAAAAACCAGATTAAAAAGCATGAGCACTAACCAGAAATGGACCCAGGCTCAGCTGGTGAATTAGCGTATGACACTGAAGTAAAAAATAAAAAAGCCAAAGAATTAAAGAAAAATACCATGGCAAGTAAGAAATCTATATATAGGGATATAAATGACAAATTTACTAGATTGTTACAATGACAGATTTGAGATGGCTTCACAAAGAACAAGCAAGCTGAAAAGAGCACTGACAGAACTTACTAAAACCAAGGAGAAAAACCAGACCAAATTAAAATGAACACAATTTAAGACTCTGTTATTCAGATTAAATTTTAAAATGAAATAAAATCTCAGTCAGAAGATAGCAAGTGTCCTAATACATGGGTAAAGGGAGGCCCAGAAAGAGAAGGAAGAAAAAGATTTGAAGAAATCATTGTTAAAGATAAAAACAACAGACACAAAGGGAAACAAGAATGGGCTCAAAAGTAAATTCTACTGAAAAGCATGTGTGCACACACATTATATAAACAACAATGAATGAACAGAAGAAAACAAAAAGCTAGACCCAGTAAAACAGCAGACACGCCTATCCAGATTACCTAGATGAAAATGTAAACAGACCATGAGCTCCAATCACAGATGAAAATTTCCAAACTGTAAAAAGAAGCAAGATCTAGCTGTCTAAAGGAATATTTTAAATTGAAAGGGGTTAAAACAATTAAGTGGAAAAAGATATACCACATAAACAACAAACAGAAAAGGGCTTATAAAGCTACATTGAAAGAAGACAAAAGAGATTTTTAAGTCAAGAGATGTGAACAGAGGCAAGAGGGTATTTCTATCCATAAAAGGGCCAACTGGCTACAAGTGTTCCTTAGGAAAGACTACTAAGCCATAAAACAAGTCTCAATAAGACTGAAATTATATAAAGTATATTCTCAAGCTAGAAACAAATTAAATTATAAATAGCAAAAGAAATTTGGCAAATTTTTAAACATTCAAAATTAACACTTATTAATTCAAGACCAAAGAAGAAACTAAGGAACTTTCAAGATGTCTTGAAAATAAAAACATAATCACCTTTTTTTCTATCACCTTTTGTTGTTCTAAAAAAAGAAACTTACCTTAGGAGAAACTTACAACTTACACACAGAAAAGAATAAATCCTAAATTCAATCATTTTAGCTTTTAAATTCAGGAAGCTAGGAGAACAAACCAACCAACCCAAACAAGAAGGAAGAAAAAAGTAAGATCAAAGTGGAAATTAACAAAATCAGACAATCTGCAAAAACATAAACCTTGATACTGGGTAGACTGTTCAGCTGGTAAAGTGCTTGCTTTACTCAATCTCTACAACTGAAGTGAAAAAGCCAGGTATGATGGAATGTGCCTGTGATCCCAGAAGGCAGAGGGGTGGGCTGGCTGGCAATCCCAGCCTGCATCGTGAGCATTCGATCAAGGAGAGATTCTGTCTAAAAAAATTAAGGTGGATAGCTACTGACACCTAAGGTTGCCCTCTGGACTGAAGTGAAAAAGCCAGGTATGATGGAATGTGCCTGTGATCCCAGAAGGCAGAGGGGTGGGCTGGCTGGCAATCCCAGCCTGCATCGTGAGCATTCGATCAAGGAGAGATTCTGTCTAAAAAAATTAAGGTGGATAGCTACTGACACCTAAGGTTGCCCTCTGGTGTCTATACACAACACACACACACACACACACACACACACACACACACACACACACGTTGCCCTCTGGTCTCTGCATGCACACAGATAGATATATATTTAAACATCTGTTTGAGATAAAGGTTGTTATGTAGCCCCTATGTCCTTAACAATGACCTTAACCTTCTGATTTTCCTTCTTCCACTTCTGTGGTGGTCTGGGATTACACGATTGCACCATCACAACCTGGTCTTATGAAGTTCTAGAGATTGAACCCAGGGCTTTGTGTGTGCTTGAGATCACTCCACCAACCGATTTCTTCCATATCCCCAGCAAATTTTTTGGAGACGGTCTCTCTGTAGCCCCAGCTGACCTGGAACTTACTCTGTAGACCAGGCCTTGATCCCAGATATCTGCCTGCCTCTGAATCCCAAGTGCTGTAATTAAAGGCATGTGCTACCAGGCCTGTCCCCAGTAACCTTATGCTAATGAAATTATAAACTCAGAGGAACTATGTTCCTAGAAATACTCAAAGGACCAAAACTGACAGAAGACTAGAAACAGAGAAAACAGCACAGTTACAAAGATCAGTAACTATCACAGAAACAGAATTGGTAGTTCAAATATGAAAGACATAGTAATATTTTATTGTTTTTCATGCCTTTGGTTGAAATGGCTGTTCTGGTAGGTCTGAGTTCATTATCATTTGATGTAGCAGACTATATATTCTTGATCCCAGAACAAATGTCATGAGTACCCTTTCAAACCCAGACTCTTCAAGCAATCCATCCATTGGAGCCTTCTACTACTAGTGAGGCATGGAATCATGTGACCTTATCACCATTGGAAAGAGAGCATGTTTTCAAAGAAGGAGGAATTTTTGAGTGGTGGGTATCTGATAGCTACTAAAAGAAAACAAATGCTATTTACAGGCTCTACATAACCTTATACAACAGAAACTTCTATTACAGAGCTGAATCTCTGTTTGGAAGATGCTCAAAGTTTGAATAAAATTCTCTTGTGGTAATCTGATATAGGCAAAGAAAAATGAAATCTAAAAACTAGCACTAGCTCTTTTATACAGGCTGCAGAACATTTTAATCTCTACAATAAAATCTCCCATACAATATGATTTCTGATTGCTGGTATGTGTGTGATTCTTATCTGTGGATAATTTTTTCCCATTTCCTTCTCCTTTAATAAGTAGTGAGGTCAAGTAGTAGTATTCTAGCTGAGCTAGAAAACTGGTAGAGTTAAGTAGGAAGACGCCATGATGTAGCTTAGAAAACAACTGTCCTGGCTGCTACACAGAGGATGGAGAAGCTGGGCAGGAGGCATTTGGAAGTGAATGAATCTAGGGTGGTGAAGCCAACACCTAATCTGAATCAACTTCTTTTGTAGCCACAGGGATGGAACCCAGGGCCTTGCACAGTCAGACACAGCCATGAGTTATATCCCTAGCCCTCTTTGTATTTTTTTTTACTTTGAGATAGGGTTTTACCAACTCATCCTGGCTGGCCCTGAAGTCTCTCTGTAGCTTGTGTAGGCCTCAAACTTGGAATCCTCTCGCCTCAGCTCCAAGTTGATAGGATTACAGGTCTATGCCACCAGAAACTCTTTAACGTCTAACAGTTGATGGAGGTATGGGCTACTCCTTCATTAATCTTCAAGGGCATGGTACAGGGAAATGGAATAACTGGCCTGAAGCCATACTGCTAAGGCCAGGCTGCAATTTGAACCCGAGAACTGATTCAACCCCAAGCAATCAGCAGAAGAGCTGAGTTCTCCCACTTGAGATAATAAGATAAAGGGAAAAAGGTTAAGTGATAAAAATGTTTTGGAATTGGAGAGATCCGTTCTGACTGCTGGGGAACTGCTACTCTGCTCTCCGTGGGCTTGCGTACTTCCGTAGAGTGTCAGGTTGTGTTCACTGGTCTGGCCGGCATAGTCCTGAGTGTGTGGCACTCCATATTCTGTGGGAATTCCATTCTGTGGAGGTGGTGGGAACTGGGTGGTAGTAAAAGGCGGAACCATTGCGTCAGGAGTTGTTGGCTCCTGGTTACCCTAGAGAGGTCAAAATTATTAGTGGACTAAATGTAGAAATGAAGCACAGAAAGGAAACAGTCACTCCCAGCTTTTGCTTAAGTAACCAAGTGACTTCAGTGGTCTAAGTACATAAAAGAGCACATATAAGAAAAAAAAGGGTTCCAGGACCAAACTTGGGGCAGTGTAATTTAAAATTTGAACAAGGGAGAACCATCCCCACACCAAGCTGAAGAGGAAAATGGGCAGGGCCGAATCCAAAAGGCCCGCTGCTTGGAGGGAGGAGAGACTGCAGGTGAGAACAGATGTGGGGCTTTGCATGATGGGGGTTTCTGGGGAAGAGTTTCTCTCTTGAATTTGTACTCACCTTGCTCTTTTATCTCTAAACTGAACACTCCAGGCACTGATGGGGAGGTTTAATTCAAACTCCCTATCCTCTAGTCACAATGCTTAGAGAAGAACTGCCATTATACACAAGTTGTGCAGTGGAACACAATCTTAAACTAATTGAGGGTTTTCTGATGAAAAGATTTCCATGTGACTGGCACATCCTTCTATCTTGCACCTCCTAGTTCACATACCGTGAGAGATCCGTTCTGATTGCTGGGGGAACTGCTACTCTGCTCTCCGTGGGCTTGCGTACTTCCGTAGAGTGTCAGGTTGTGTTCACTGGTCTGGCCGGCATAGTCCTGAGTGTGTGGCACTCCATATTCTGTGGGAATTCCATTCTGTGGAGGTGGTGGGAACGGGATGGTAGTAAAAGGCTGAACCATTGCATCAGGAGTTGTTGTCGGCTCCTGGTTACCCTAGAGCAAATGGGAAAGAGGAGAAATGGTGACTAGTTAAATCCCTGTTACAGAATTACTTTAAAGTGAGTATACAGAACTCTTCACATATTCTCTTACTGTATAGGTAATTGTTCCATCACTGGGGAAAGAACTGCTGGGTCATTTTCTTTAAGATAGCTCTCTAATATTTTAACAGTTACAATTCATAGTAAACTGGAAGACTATTACAAACTAAAGTCTCAAAACAAGACATAACCTCCAGATTTTTAGGACAGAGTTCAGAAGAAAGTATATTACTTTAAAAAAAAAATCAGTCTTTAGATCCTTAAGATATCAAAGTAGAAATTTATTTAAATCATGTCTACTAGGTTAACAATGAAATTCTCCTTTAGTTAAAAATGCTGGGGCCACTGAGATGGTTCAGCAAGTAAAAGCACGAGCCTGAAGTGGAAGAAGAAACCCAACTCCTAAAAGTGGTCCTTGGACCTTTACATATGTGTGCCACATTAACACGCGTACATCACACATACTAAAATACACACAGTAAAACATTTAAAAATACATTAGAAATAGCTAAGTAGTTATCAGATTAAATTGAATGCAGGAATGTTTTCCCTAATTACTGTGAACACTGTAGGGTGACAATACAGCACAATGCCCCTCAGCTTCCACTAGATGTTGACATTTGGGGTCCAGAATGGTACCTATATGATGTGAAAGCAGTAGGCTGTAAGGTAGAAAGATGGGTAGGGGAAATAGGATGCAAGGGAAAAGGAGAGGATGAGCAACACAAACTGCTTGAAAACACCATAATGAAAACCAACCCTCTGTATGCTAATGTAATATACCTAAAGGATCTAGTAGCCACGGGAATGAGGCCACTTGGTGCCGTAGTTCCTCTCTCACTCCTGTTCTTATCTTGAAGGCCAAATATAAAAGAAAAATCTTGTGTTATGCATTCCACAAAGCTCTGACCGTCCTCCCTTCTCAACAACTGACCTTCCAATTTCTCAGTAAAAACAAATGCTCTGATTTTACCGAAGACACATAAGTCTACAATGTCTTGGGCCACCGTCTTTCTGGAAATCTGGTTTTATGTCACTTGGTTTCCGGCTAGCCATGAGCAAGGAAGTAATCATTCCACGCTCGTGTCTCTTATCTCAAGTGTCCTGTTGGCCCTCAATTTGAGGAGATTCTCCAATAAGTGCTATTGAAACCTACACTTTCTAAAGATCAACCAAGGCTTTCACCATCAGCAGTTCATCACACTGCCTCAAACAAAATGAATTCAAAGCTTTGGAAAGGTCTTATACTACCAACCAAGCCACCCCCAAGTCTTCAATATGTAACACATTGTTCCTGTTTGTTGGTACTGGTATGGAACCCTGAGCCTCGTGTGTACGAGAAAAGCGCACTACCAGTGAAGCTACAGTCCTGGTCGGATCAAGGTCCTTTGTAAAGGGAAGTTTGGCCATCTTAGTATAATTATTCTTAAAATACTGAAACGTGACAAAAGCTGTTATGAATGAAAAAAAAATATGATTGTAGATTGGAAGACTCAACATTCTTAAGATGACTATCCACCAGAATTACAAGCCCAACCAAAATCTCAGCAGGTATTTTTGCTAGATCAGTCAAAACAATTTTGAAAGAGAAGAACAAAATTTGGAGGCTTTAACATGACCCAATTTCAACTCTCATGCTTAGCATCTATTCCACAGATGCAGAAGGCAGCTTGAAACAAATGACAAAGGACAATTTGAAGACAGAAAAGAAATTTAAACAATTTTAGACAGCAAAGAATTCTTACGGTGCAAACAAGAACCATTTTAAAAAAAATCGACAAGCTAAATTTATCATAATTTAAAAAAATTTACTCTGAAAGATACCAATAAAAAGAAAAGTCAGGCTTCTCTCTCTGGGTTAAATTGATGGGGCCCTCTGCGCCTTGACTCCCCCAGCCTCACTCAACCTTCCATCTGCCCCTCCAGTCTCTCCTCCTAGCCTGGGTCCTGTCCCACTCCTTGTCTTGGTGCTCCAGAAGGGGAACTACCACTGTTTCTTCCTGATTCTGTGCACCCAGAGCAACTCAGTTCCTTCTCAGGTCCCGAGGAGCACTACTTCTGGGACTGGCACCGCCCTTACCTCCCTCTGCCTCCTTGGGTCTGCACAACCCCCCAGCCTCTTTCCTGGACGCTGGGGCTGACCTTTCCTCTTCCTGGTACTTTGCAACCAGACCAACCCACCTCCTCAGTGCAGTCCCCTGGGACTCTTGGGGCCGACTCCCACCCCCATCTTCCTTTGCATCTCTGGGTGGCACGGCCACCAACTGCCCTAGACCAGCATCTTTCCTGGTCCCGGCTCCCAGGCGAGTCCAACCCCCAAATTCCTGAGGCCAAAATCTATCCTGGAGGGATCCAGACCTTAGGAAAAAGCCTGAGAGCATATGATCCTCATCTGACTTGGGCCTATGTGGGAACTCCTGAAGGAAAAAAAAACCAATCTGGCCACTCCAATATAAAATCAAAAGAGAGAACTGGAAGCTTAGAGGAACCAGCCTTTCATGCCCAAAAAGTAAACCACAAAGACACACAAAGTACACAAAAAGAAGCAGACCTAAACTGGAGTCTCACACAAGAATCAGGAACTACAAAAGAAATTCACATGTCAAAATCACAGAGAAAAAAATAACACGAAAAACCAAAATAATATATCCCCACCAAATACCAATAGTCCTCTAGAGGAGTACAGTGAGAACCCCCTAGAGATAATATAGCACATGGAACTCAAAAGAACAATTATAAACATGATAAAAGAAATTAAATGAATTTAAAGAACACAAAAAGAAATCAAAGAACTGAAGGAAGATAGGGACAAACTTCTGAATGAATTCAGAAAAGAGTTAGAAATACTGAACAATATTCAGATTGAAATGAAGAAGTATAGGCGAGCACACGCTGGGCTCTCAGGGTCCCAGCGCGCACTCCTGGGCAGTGAATGTTCCTCCGCTACTGAGGTCTACTCAGTCGATCCCGTCCCTATTTCACCTGTATACCTTCCTCAGGATGTGAGGTCCATTGGCCACTTGGACCACACGGGAAGCATATGAGGGACGGCGAAAGCCAGGGTGTCCGTGAGTCAGCGACGGAGGAATAGCGCCCCCCGGGGAGACTGGATCACAGGATTTAGTGTTACAGCTCAAGACAAGTGACTCAGCTCAGATCTCAGTGATTCAGCTCCAGCTCCAACTTTATTGGGGTAAAACTAGGACTATTTATAGTGTAGAGACAGCAGAAGAAGTCTTAGCTGATAGGTACTTTTAAGATGCCTTATTTACATAGGGCGGTGGGCTTCTATCAGGCTATCAGACAACACCTGATTAAAA